ACATGTGAATATGCTACCATATGTAGAGATGTGATTAAGTTAGGACCTGTGGAGGATATTATCTTGAATCTGTAATCACTAGGGTCCTTAAGAGAGTCAACATTAGATTGACATGATGTGAGAAAGTCCAGATGGAACAGAGATACAAGCCAAGGATCACAGACCCTCCAGAAGCTGGAAAAGGCAAAAGGTATATTCTCCCCTAGAGTTCCACAAAGGAACACAGTCCTGCTGACAGCTTGATTCTAGCCCTCTGAGGAACACTTTGGACTTCTGAACTGTAAAATAATTACTGTGTTGTTTGAAGCAAGGAAGTTTGGGGTAATCTGTTATAATAGTATTAGGAAACTAACAGTTTTATCTCTAAAAGCTCCTACATTTAAATTTTAACATGTGGAAACCAGATTAATTTGTCAATTTAAAAAACATTCTAATCTAAAGGTTATTAACTAATACAAAATAGAACAGAGGGAAGAATATGACTCAATTGGTATTTAATTTTTAGTAAGTACTTAGCACCATGCTATTTAATGTGAGAGCAACTCCTAAAGTCTGACCAGTAGAAACTGTAGTTTCAAATAATAAATATACATATGCATACAAAAACTAAGGCAGAAAAGTTGATGGCAATAATAAAACAAATTTACTTAAAGAATGTTATCTTTTACAATAATTATTATAACATGACGAATTAAAAAACATCCTAACTTTTTTAACACAAGAAACAGGTATTCCATGTTCTAGTCATCACAAATTCCAAGTTTCTCTATAAAAATGGTTTCTATTTGGGAAAACAAAAATCAAAAGTGCCCTAAACATCTGGAAAAAGATCTCTCAAATAGAAGAGTTGGCCAAGCATAAAAGCAAGAAATTAGAACCATTCAAGCTGCCCTGTTTAACTGCCCAGAGAAAATGTGATCTAGGAGATAAGAGTTCATCTTCTGAACTGACAAACCTATATTCAAATTCCAGCCCCTCACTTATTAGATGTAAGACTTTCAAAGATATTTAACCTCTGAGCCTCAGTCTTCTCATCATAAGATACAGGTGATAATGAAGTTCACAGCAGGTGGCTATACTAAAGCATGTAAATACATATTTAGTGCTAGCACAGTTAGGGGGGACTCAGAATCCTATCATCTGCTTTTCTCCCACCTCCTCTTATGCTGCTTTCTTTTATATTTTAACTAAAAATGAACATTAGTAAAATATTAAGGTGAGCAAAGGCAAAGACAAGAAATTTGCAGCAATCAAACCCAATACATTTCCTTTATAAAATTAAGTATTTGGGACCAAGCTTACCCAAAGTATTACATTTGGATTTAGATTTCTTCTCTTTCTTTTCTACTGGGGATTTTACCTTCACTTCTTTCTTTTTAATTTCTTTAACTTTACTTTTTCTCATAGTAAAGTCTTCATCATTATCTTCACTCTCATCAAAATCAGAATCCTCCTCAGAATCATCACCTAAAACAGAAGATTATATATATATATAATATATAACAGAAAATTATATATACTTTGTTCTAAAAAAAAAATGAAGCTTCTGGTGAATCCACTTTATTTGCAGCTTTTGCATCAGATTCCTGGGCATCGCTGTGCTCTACCATTTCCAGCAGCAGAACACTGCAGTTTTGAAACTGAGTGCCTGGCTTGGAATCCTTTTCCCCCAACCCCTTATACATGTTGTCTGACTCAGGTTACTAACTTTACAGTGCTTCAGATTCCTCTTCTTGAAAATGGGGACATTGTGCCAATTTTATGAGAACAAATTCTGACATATATCAAACACAATTGTTATCTATTACCATTATCACTATAATTTTCCATCAGTAATTTTTACTTCAGATTTTACTAGTTTAACTCACTTTTTGTTTGTTTGATACTAGGGATTAGACCAGGGGATGAGCCACATTCTCAACCCTTTTTATTATTTATTTGGAGACAGGGTCTTGCTAAGTTACTGAGGCTGCCTCAAACTTACAATCTTTCTGCCTCAGCATGAACCACCACTTCCATCCAATTCTCAATAATTTTTGAAAAGAAGGGTAGAGTATAAAAGCTAGTTTTTCAAAATCATGACATTTATGAAAGTAACAATATACCTTCACTTAATTACATATGCTTCAACATTCTGGAATAGAGAAGAGACTATACCACAACAATATTATTAACCCTCATTTCCCACAGGCTCTTTTCTGTACTGCATGAGATAATATAAGCCAGTGATGTAATATGGAAAGTACGGTAGTGGTTCTAGAAAAAAAGCACTGCCTAAACTCTGGTATGTACACTTGTCTACTCCATTGTGCATGCTTTTTCATCATTCAGAAATATAATCTTATCCCTTTAGATGGTCTAAAAGATCCTTATTTTTCAAGCATGGCTGAAAGATGATCTCTCACCCAAAGCTTTTCCCCAAAATGCCACAATTGCATTTAGCTGTCCTATTTGTTCCTCAAGTTTGTATACCCTAAATATTTAGCACAGTGTTCTGCACACATTAATGGCCTCCAAGAACTTTTACTGCATTCCAGAAGAGTTAGTTTTGAAGCAGAGTGTAACTTACCAGTTGCAATGTCTGGCTCGGTGTCATCAGCACTATCACCATCACTGCCTTCCAAAAGCATCTTCCTCTGCTGAGCCACAGCTTTAGATGCTGCTTTTCTTTTCCCTTGAACACCAAGAGCATCATCTTCCTCTGTGATCTTGTCCAAATCTTCAGGAGAGGCATAAACATCAATGGAAAACTTTGTTGTAGCTAATATTTCAAGAACAGCAAAGCAGACATGACAACCGTCTTACTTGCTCAGGTTCATCCCTCCCCTGTTCCTAGTAATAGACTACATCGTCCAAGCTGGGTTACTCACAGCACATCAGTACCCTGGCAATAGACTCCAGTTTTAAAGATGAATTCAATAGTCTTTCCCCAAGAATTTTCAAAATGGAACTGAGAAGATACAGTCCCTATCTTTAGTGGTCAACTGCTGAGGACTAAAAGCCATGGGTAGTCATGACACTCCAACAGGGAAGAAAATGGGTATGTAGTAGTTAAGAGGACAAGACTAAAACTTAGAGAAACAAAAGTCAAGAGATAAAAAGAGTCTTGACCATTTAAAGATCTTATTCTAGTCACAGTTTCAGGAATTTAAATAAACGTTAGAAAAATAGCATTGCGGATGAAAAAAATTTACCATCAAAAACTTACCTAAATAATCACTGGTTACACTGCAATTAGATATATGAGATTTATTCATTATTTCTGTTTCACTGTTGCCGTGTTTTTCAATGCCTAAATATTAGGAATAAGAAAAAATTCAGATGCATCTTAATAAACTGATATCTACAGGAAGATTAGTGCTAAAATGTAATAGCATCTAGATACTGATAAATGATCTGAAACCCAAACTAGCACAATAATTTTACTTGGAGAGGCTAGCATATAGTTAGGAGTTTGGGCTCTGAAATCAAAAAGACTTAGGTTCAAATTCAGGCTCATAAATGGGCTTATCTTTAGACTTAATTTCCTCATCGATAACAGGAAGATAAAAATTGTGTATCATAGGATTAGTATCGGAGATTAGATGTAAATTTATGTTGCACAACACATAGAAAATAGTCAATAAATATTAACTATCACTTCTGTGTAGGCAAAGACATGCTTTTACTAACTTTCATTCTCTCTAATCATTACAATAACCTTTAAATGAAACATTTTAAGAGGCTTTTAAGTCATGATAACAGGTACTTTTAAATAACAATGCTAAGAATTGTATCATTCAATGGGATTGGTACTTATAAGAGACTCCTACTACGCATTCTACAATGTCTTTTAAGAGATAAATTTCATTTTCTCCATTTTAGATATAATACATAACAATTCTCTTTTGAAGTTTTTTGATTTCTAATTCCTAAAAATCTCCCTAATCAAACTGCTTTGTTTATTTTTAAATAAGAGGCAATACTGATTTAAAAAACAAACACTTCACTTATCCCCCTAAATAAAAGAATTTAATCCAAAACAATTTAACCCAAAAAGCATTTTAGGAATTCAAGTGTCTTTTCCATCTCTCTAGAATGTCAATATTACCAGAAAAAAAAAAAAAAATCAATGAAGAAAACCCACAGAGAGATACAGAAGTCATTCTCTTTAAATCTATGGAACCCGCAAGCCAAATTAGTACCTTTAAACCTTTGGCAATAATAAAAAATACCATGTCATATTTAACTAATTTGGGTTGGGAGAAAAAAGAGGTAGACTACTAGAAGTATATAGGTCGTTTGATCAAGAAATTAAATTTTCACTGTATATCAAGTTGTAATTGACCTTCCAGGTTCATAGTGTATGTCTCCAATCTTACCTTGGGTTCTAGGCAGAGATGTATACATTTGTATGAAATTGACACTGCTGAATCAAGAAATGAATCTAATTATACCCTCTGTAATTTGTTCTATCTATAGTTCAAAGTATTCAAATTTTATTGAATTTCAACTGTGAAAGCCCACCCCAAGTAATGATTATTAAAACAATAAGCTTTTAATGATAAATATACAAAAACAAAGTTACTTTTATTTTGAGACTTCTGTACATCATTGGGGACTGTTGGAAGTTCCTTCATTGACAAAGCTAGAGCCACTTCTAAGCCTCTCTGGAAGACTTTTTCATCTAAGGTCATCCTGAAATAGACAAGCAAATAAAGAGTTTCTAAAAGTAGCAATCTCCACAAAACAGCAAAATTTGAGATTTTCCTACATTACTATTTAAGAGCTCCTAACCTAACAAAAATGTTTTTAAATAATAACCATCATCAATTGACCTTGGAAGATAAGACTTCTAAAATGTTTTTGCGTACACACACACACACACACACACACACACACAGAGTTCCTTCAAACCTGTTAGGTTATATATGTTATATTATGTAACAAACTATATATATATATATATATATATATATATATATCCTAACAGGTTTGAAGGAACATTGTGTGCCTTTGAACTTACTGTTCTCTATAATTGTAATGTCTCTCTTTAACATAAGCTCTATCCAGGAAGCACCTGCACAACCTAAGACAGACTTAGTTCCAAGGTCACTTCTACTTAGACAGCTTCCTTGACCTCACCCACACCCCTTTAATAGACATTACAGTTCTTATATTTAAAAAAAAATTGTTTTTTACATATGTTTCTCCCAATCTAGACTTAGACACTGCACTACCAAGAATACTAAAAGTACCCTCAAGAGTCTGTAATGGTAATGAGAAAGGTGGGGACATGTTGAGAGCCACAGCCAAAGGGGCCCCAGCAAACTTCCAGCTGCCAGTTGATGATTGGCTCACAGCAGCCCCAGCAAACTTCTAGCTGCCAACTGATTGGCTCCTCTGCGGTGATGCTCATTGGGCTGTTTCCCCGCCCTTTCAGACCACTGAGCTGCTCATTGGGGGACTTTTTTTTGGCTCTGCCCATGCGACCCAGCCAATCGCCCTCAAGAGCAGGAGGAGTGGGGGAGGTTGAGAGGCTTGTGGGAA